GGGGAATTTTGCGTTAAAGAGTTTACTTGCTGCCCAGTTCTGAGTAGCCACGAGAGTGCTATTTGGTATAACAACAGTGGTAGTGTACACATTTGACTGTTTAGCCTTTGGGCTCTCTAGCACTTGACGGAGCCTTAAGTCAATGCTGCTAAAAAATGAACTGTTTTCTGGATGGTTGGTAATACTGTGGATGCCTCAAAATTAGGACTGTACAAAATGTACGTTCTATCTAATTGCAGGTTGAAAATCGTTGGAAGCAATCTATATTTGATCACAACCAGCGTGTATAAGGGACTGGTTGTGATAAGTATTTTCACTGCATGTTTTCATGCAGACATGAGTTTTCTGATCTTCTATCCTGAGAACTGATCTCAAACGCTCAATACAGAAGGCACACAATGGCAACTGTCTTCAGTGTTGGTGGGGTGTTTTTTATTCCTTTGTACACCTGGGTTTTTTTTGTACTGCACTTTTATATAAAATGTGCCTTGAAATAGTTGTAATACATAGTTCAAGGAACACTACTGGTTTTATACTGTTGTATTGTGAATCTCCTGGGATGAACGAGAATTGAACAGGTTGTTATTTCTGCATTGTCTCGTTCTCTGCAAACAAAGTCAGTATTTTAACAAAAACTTAAATGCATGCATTTTCCTTGGTGGAATCAGTGAAGGAGCCTTTGCTGCTACTCTCTGTTGATGCTTCTGTTCTGTTGTCCCAAGTTACTTTTAAGAGTAGCAGTTGGGACAGTTGGGAGTGCATGTCTGAGGTGTGTAAAGTGCAATGCAGACCTGGTATAGCATTTGTGTGTTTTCTTTTTAGTGAACTGAGTTTTATTTAGTAATCTGAGGTTCTAATCTTCAAAATAGTTGGGCAATGTTTTATGACTCAGACTGATCCTCGAAAATTCAGTTTTAAATTAAAAAAAGACATCTAGCTGTCACAGAAGGTGATGTATTTGAACTGTTTTGATGACTTTATTTAAGATGGCATTACATATTTAACACAGAAGTTTCTTAACTGTTTGTGCTTCAGATCATTAATATGGTATCTAAGAGTAGTGTACTTATGCAGGTTTTTTTTTTTTTGAATGAGTAATGACTTAACAGCAAAAGAAACCTACAGGAAAACTTTACCTTTTAAAAAGTGATACATCTGGAATGATTTTGCTATAGCAGTATCTAAGATTTTAATGATCTAGCATCAAAAGAGAGGTAAGACTTGCATTAATAAATTGTTAACATGTTACCAAGCCATTTGTAAAGCTCACTATAACATGTGGATAGAGGCATGCTGTGCAGATCTCTTGTTTAACCTGGAGTTGAGAAAGCTATTCATAACATTTAGATACAGGTTAAGTCCTCAGACTCTAAACGTTTGTGTACAGCTGAGGAGAGACAAGTAACTTAGTACTTCCTTTTAAGCAAAAGTTTTTTGAAGATTTTTTTCTCAGCAAAATTTTCTTGAAATTCAATTTCTGCAGCTATGACATACTTATAATATGCATCCTATAATTTTAAATTAAGTCGTGTGAATGTGCATAATTCATCCATGCAGTAGCTGGAATAGAGAAAATGAGTTACTTCCTGGTAAATAATTGAGGCTGTTCTCATTAATTGGGTTGAGATTTTATTGATTTTTATTTCTGGAAACATGAAGAAATTGCGACTCAAAGTATCTGTAGGATTTTTCATTCTCATTGTCCTGCACCCCACACCCTTAATTGCTTTAATTGTCCATCCTTGTATGGAACTTAATCTTATTCCATGGCATCTGAACTAATTTTTGAAAGAGATGATGCTCCTAGTCATATCTCTAACTGGTGTTCTTGGGGTAACATCTTATCTGCAGCCCCAAGCAGTGTTAGTTCTGGGCCTTAACTGTGGATCAAGGTGTCCAGCCTACTCACTGCTTTTGTCTGGAGGGAGAAACAAAAGGGCATGTAATTAAAGGGTTGGCTGTGTGAAGCCATTCCAACCATCATTAAACATAGAGTATACACTTGGATTAAAAGTGAGTAAAATGTAATTTCTGGTAAGCTTAGTACAACAAACATTAGTCTTCTGAAATTTAACCACTTACATTCTTACAGGTTTTGTTGCATGTGTGTTCAAGAGGATTTGCTGAGCTTAGTTTTACAGTTAATAGGAGTTATTTTAATAGTTACTGGATTTTATATTCTTGCATGTGTTATCTTTTTTGTAAAGTGCAAGGGGAGGTTACTTGGTACCATACTAGTTCAGAACATCTGGAAAAATTTTGATGGGAAGAAACAGCATTATAGGTAACTATGCAAATTTCTATACAGGTAATAAATATTTTACATTTTGGTAGGAGTTTACATGAAGAAATTAATGGGATTCTAAAAGTGTCCCAATTCCAAGGTAACTGGTACATGCTAATTTTACAGTTGACATTGTTTTGTGAAGAGAGAAGCATTAAATGACCTAAGCACTGTGAACTTCTTCAACTCATAGCGATGGCGAATACAGTAACGAGAATTTGCAAATGGCTAAAAATCATTGCATGTCTGCCTAGTAACTTTTGGGATATGTCACTTTGGTTATCTCCAAAGGGGTCCTGCTTTACACAGAACGAACATCTCTAAGGAAACTTGCATCTTAAGTGTGCGACTTGGACTGTATTAGGTCAGCACAATTTAAACTTCAAGGACCTGGCATTGGACATCACATCAAGAAAGAAAACAGGTTGCTGCCTTTAGCAGAGTTTCAGGCTTCCAGGACTTTACACAGCCAGATTCCTTCTGGAGCAGCCCATCTGAAAGATTTGTGAAAGTCACTTGGAAAATGTTAAATGGGACAGAGTTGGCAGAACTTAAAAGTTGTCTAAGACTTGAATGCTTAAAAAATAGTTGATAAGGAAATTGCTATTTGAAATTCTTTTGGTTGGGTATTTTGGTTGCAGGAGAGAACCATGGCTGTGTTTTGTAGCAGAAATTTCTTTCCTGTTCTTTTTTAATCCACAGAATTTCTTTCAATCTTTGTCACTTGTTTAAAAGCAAAACCAAAAAAATTAAATTACCTTCCTGGTCTTGAAAAGTAATGCAAGTCCTGCCATTGACTTTACAATAAACCTGCTCAAATTTGGGTTGTTTTTTTTGTTTTTTTTTTTTCTTTGGCAGAGCTTATGCTTCTGTAGAAGAGAGCACAGCTTCATTATGCTGCTGTGCCTATTAAAAGGAGCCAGTGATTGTGGTTGCTATCCAGACTTTGGCAGACCAAGAGCCTTAAGGACTTTTAATTTTTCTCTTTTTATGGAGTCAGCTGTATTGCCTATATATTAATTTGCATATCATTTCCTATAATGCTTTACAGTGCAATTTTTATCATGAAGATTAAAGATGTGTAATGTTACCCATTCAGTAAAGAAAATCTTGTCAGTTAAGTACTTTTTCCTGGTTGTTTCCCACTTTTCAGAAACTGGGCATCCTAATAATCATTGCTTATGATCTGACATCTGTCATTCTGAAGGAAGTAGATTAATAATCCTTCCTTAATTTCTAGTCAGTTTTAATTGCATCTTACTTTCTCCTCACCATGCAAGATGTGCTCGGGAAAAGCTGACCATAGACGTCTTGAAACGCATTGTGTACATTACTATCAAATACATAAATTGAGTTGAAAAATAAATGGATGTTTTAAAAATTAGTATCTGGCCAGCATTCAGAAGAATCTCATCCTCTCAAAGAAAAAAAATGGATGTCACTGTGAAAAACGAACGTGGGATTTAGTATTCTTCCCTCCCAAGCAACTTTCTCTTCACCCAAACTGAATTATTAAATTTTACTAGTACAATCAATGAAGATCTGTTTATAATTCAGTTTACATGTGTAATTTTTAAAGTACTGAATGCAGTACTTCATTTTTCAAATTACAAGGCACATCTTTAATCAAATATTTAACGCCATTGAGAATTAGCACATGCAAGACTGTGCATATGGATAATCCAGATGTTGCTATCAAAAAACAATATGCTTATTCATATTTGCAGTAATAAAACTTGTCTTCCGCTTTATGGGACAGCGATGGAAGATCAACTGGCATTGGAGCAGCACGTGGTAACTATATAGGGAGACTTTCTGCTATGACAATTATGTTGAGACATAATGTTCCTTGAATTGTGACATGCAGAAATTGCATCTCCTTTTTGTCTGTAATGGTAACTGAGGAAGATTACTGAAGGTTTTATATTCATGTTGTGATAGATGGCTCTTTCCTTTGCAGCCAAACAGGCAAAAAGTTAATGGCGAAGTGTCGAATGCTTATCCAGGAGAATCAAGAGCTTGGAAGGCAGCTGTCCCAAGGACGCATTGCACAGCTTGAGGCAGAGTTGGCTTTACAGAAGAAATATAGTGAGGAACTAAAAAGCAGTCAGGATGGTAAGGGATTTTTTTAAGAAAATAGAAGTTGCCTTGCACTTCTGCTAGTTTAATTTCCTGGTGATAATGCATACTGTAAAACCATCTTTGCCAGACTGAAAGGGCAATATGGAGTAAAATACAACAACTGTAAGTCATCACTGGTCTTAATGCAAAAAAAAAAGGCAAAACAAACAAAACACCCTCAAAACCAAAACAAAACAAAAACCAAACCAAACAAACACAACAACCAAACCCACACCTAAACCAACCAAATTAACTCTGGGGGACTGGTGGGATTTTTAGCTTCAGTAATGCAGCATTTGAATTTGAAATGGCCAGATTTCATACTGTGGGTTTTGCTATTTAATAGAGAATGCTTAGGCTGCACATGTTACTGGTGAACTGGTAAGATAAAAGCTCTTAATGTTGCATGAAGCTAAGCATGCACTGAGAACAGGCTGTTTCTTGTTAACTCTGATACATTTTGAAATTACTTTCAAAAGACCAAGAACTTTTTATCAATGCCGAAGAGTGGGAAAAATATAATTTCTTAGATAGCTCCGATGAACTAAAATTTCATTATTGGGTTTACAGTACAAATTTTACAGTATTTTAAACCTAAATTGAAATCAGCTATGAACTCTGACCTCTTGCATAATTTAAATGGGGGAAATGCAAATTTTAAATATCTTCAGTTGACAATTTGGCATAGAATCAGTGGGGCTTCTGCTAGAATGTTAGAGTAATTATCTGATTATTACAATAAGTCTTGGGACATGGGCTATTTAGAAATCACATAAACCTGGTGATGTTTTTGTTTTACCACTGGAGTCTGTAAGATAGACTAGATTTGATTTGGCTTCATTAAAGTCAGACATACTCTGTATTTTTAAAGATAGTTTCAACACACACACCCAGGATCATATTTTTGAGGAAGTAGCAGTATGAAATAACTAGAATTCTTAAGGTAAATTATTCTTTCTGTAATGACATGCTGTTGGAATAGTTACCCTTTTGCTTTTTAACGGCTGTTTAGGTAATGCACTTCATCTACGTTTATCAAGTTCATAATGGAAGCAAGTGTGGACATCATTTAAAAATTTCTGCTCTTGAGTGCCTATAGTGAACAGTAAGCTCCAGAACGGAGATGTTCTTTAGCCACTATTGCTTCTTCCCCATATGAACACAGATGATGACAGTCCTGCAATAAGAATTTTTCTAATTTTCTGTTGCAGCAAGAACACTCTTTAATTTTATGATTTTTTTTTTTTACAATAATAAGTTTGCATTTTACTTGCTCCATCATGTCAACGGTGCAGTTGAAGACTAAGGGAGACGGTATTTCTTTCACTGTTTGCAGGTCAAATTTATTTTGCTCCAAAATACAGTCCTAACTGTAAAATCCTTCTTGATACACAACTGCTAAAAAACCCTGTGGAATTAGTTAACAGTGTTGTTAGTGAAAGTCTTTTAAGCATCTCCTTACACAGGATTTAAAGGATTAAAACCAGCAAGAGCTGAAACTTCCTTAAAATGTGACTAAAATTTTTTTGTCACTGAATAGGGTTTTTGTAATTACTCAGTTGTGGTATATACAGATGTGATTCATGGTCACTTTTACAGTATTTCGGCTAAGGTTTTATACTTGAGTAAAAGTAAACAGGAGGATCTACTTGTGAAGTATTAATTGTTGGAATTGAGCTGTTTTCCAAATATCCTCCTTTTTTGCCCAGGACTTAATTTCTTCTTGTATTTTGAGGAGCAGTATAAAGAATACGCTAGGTAAGAGTTGAGCATTTCCTCCTCAGAGGCAGAGTATCAAAACCTGTCCATACCTGAAGGTTGAAAAGTAGTCTGTTGAAAAATTTCAGCATAAGATGTTGAGTTACAGGATTAATTTTTGTCTTGAGATTGAAGCTATATACGGGCTATTAAGTGTTTGCAACAAATGTGTTCTCTTTATATAGAATTGAATGACTTCATCATCCAGCTTGATGAGGAGGTAGAGGGTATGCAGAGTACCATTCTAGTTCTCCAGCAGCAGCTGAAGGAGACTCGCCAGCAGCTGGCACAGTACCAGCAGCAGCAGTCGCAGGCCTCCAACCCAGGTACGAGCAGGACTCCGTCTGCCGAGCCCCCGGAGCAGGGGGAGGCTGTGGGGAAGGACTGCAGCCGCCTGGCAAACGGACCAAGCAATGGCAGCTCCTCCCATCAGCGGACGTCTGGGCCTGGATTTTATAGGGAGGGTAGCGGCACGGAAGATGACTTCCCGGCTTCTCCAGGGAATGGTAATAAGCTGTCCAACCACTCTGAAGATAGAACTGGTAGAGGAAGCGGTAGCTACATAAACCAGCTCAGTACTGGGTACGAAAGTGTAGACTCTCCCACTGGCAGTGAAAACTCTCTCACTCACCACTCAAATGACACAGACTCCAACCATGATCCGCAAGAGGAGAAAACGGTGAGCGCGAAAGGTAACAGAACTGCGGGTTCTCGTCATGTCCAGAATGGTTTGGACTCCAGTGTAAATGTGCAGGGTTCAGTTTTGTAACATTTTTCTGCAACGTTTTTATACAGTGTCATTTAAATTGGGAGAGGATACTGTCCAGAAGACGTTAAAATTAGTGCATACTTGTCACAATTTTGCCTTTTTGTGGGTTTCTTTTTGCTTCGATACCTCTGCCACTTTGGAAATTTTAACAGTTAATTACGTTGAATGTTGCTAAAAGGACGTTTGTGTAGCTCAAGTTATTTTTATATGAGTTAATGTGAAGTTGAAAATGGAAATTATTTCCATAAAGTATAACATAAATGATGTCTGTACAAAATCTGTGTATATCTAGAACCTGTGCTGTGTAAGGGCATTCTTACTCATACTGTTATACTTGCACCACCTTCAAGAGTTGTCATAATAGCCGTGGGTTTATGACTGCCAAGTTTGCCCAGTACAGTAGTTTTATCACTAAAAGATGGACTTACTGAAGGAGTCCTGTAGTAGTTTCAGTGTTAATTACAGTTTTTCCCACCATACATCTGTGCATTTTCTCCTTAGGTGACCGAATGTTTATGAATTGTGTGCATAGTTACTCAGTTTTTAAGAACTGTTGTATCCTGTTTATGCATATTGCTCTGTGACTCCAATATTATCTTACCTGTACTGACCAAACCTAAATAAAAACTTTTAATAATGTAATTTCCTCATTGTTCTGCATTGGCTTACATGGCTTATTTGTATGCAGTGTATTTACAGGACTTGCTCTTTTACTGAATTTGGTTTTGTGTCAATCCTATCTAATACAGCTTATGCCAAATACCTGAAGTTACTGGTGTGCACTATCATGCTAATTCCAGGCCAGCCTGACAGTGATTATTCTTTAGGTTTTGTCCTTACTGGTAGACAAAGAAAAGGGGGGGGGGAAAAAAAAGCTAATAAAAGTATGCCTTAAGAGTTAGAACCTGGCTTTTATGAAGATTAAAACCCAAACAAACCAAAAAGCTAGAAGTATCCAACAGGTAAATGTATAAATTAAATTACAGAACTCGTAAGGAGTTAGTAATTCAGCCTCTTAAACCAGATATAACTCCTTCTGTTTTTAAATGCCTGCCTGAGGGAACTGACTTCTTAACAGGTGCAGAGAATGAAAAACTTAAGTTTCATTAAGTGTGCTTTCATTGTTCAGTAGCAGTGAGTTACAGATTTCTCAGAGCCTGAAATTCTGGTGGTTATTTTCTGGCTACTGGTTTAGTGATGGTAGCATATAAGATGGAAAAGGACTCTCTTTTAAGCTGTTCAAAGGGAAGACAAAATTATTTAGCAGTATACTTTTGGGTAGACTTGAGTCTTGTTTCAATATTTTCTGTGAATCTTGTAATTGCCAGATGACTACAAATTATCTCATGTGGCCACTAAAACAGTAGTAAATGGCTTGTAGCTTTGCAATCAACTGTGGAAACAAACTCGTTTGAAAGCAGCATTTCTACAAAGTTCTAGGACATACCTGAATTTGTTTCAAATTTGCATACTTACAAAAATTCCTAGGTTACAGAAGGGTTTGTGTGGCACCACTTTTAAGTGGCATATTGTATGGGAACTAGCATCTACAGTAGTATATTGTCCAAGAAAAAGATATAATTAAAATGCTACTAGGAGCTGTCATCTTTCAGAGACATGCTAGTCCATGGACCACTATTTTTGTTTTTTAGGGTTCATTTAAATGTATTAAAACAACTTGGTAGTTGTTGCTGCAAGTGTAAATTCTATTGGTGATACTTGGTTGTTTTTTAATGCTACTTTAGCCCCCATTGCCTGAAAAACTGGCTAAGTAACTGCTTCAAAGGGAATTGACAGTATTGAAAAAAAAACAGTACCAGTATCTGGCACCTGAAGTAATTTCTAGTTTACAAAAATCCCCGGTGGTGATCTACCTACCTCTGCAGTTGCCAGTGCTTTATATTTGACCTTAGCATTGTATTGTTTGGTTATCCATAGTGCATGTGTATCTACCTCCCAGATCCTGTACATGGATGTAGTATTTGTAAGCAGCTTAAAATGCTGGTAACAGGTTATAACAATGGCTTTATCTGATAATAGAGATGGTAAAAACCCTTGTGGGGCAATCTGTGGTCACAGTTCAAATTTCAATCTGAAATACACAAGCAGCTCATATCAAAATGGTAGACAACTTTTCAGCTAGTGTAAGGATTTAGAAGGATGTAAAATTGCTTTTAATTGTGCTAATGTTAAAAAAAACCAAACCTACATAGCTTTCAGGTGGTGACAGCTTGCTACTTTAATCTGTCAGTTACTATAGGGCATTAATGGCTTAAAACCTCATGTAAAGATTTTAGTTCTCTCAAGACTTTGTGGTACATAAGCTTTAATTTGCTGCTTCAAAATTTTTAGCTCTTCAGTTAATTTTTAAATACAAATTATACCCTTAGTTTAAAAGCTGTGGAGATGTGGTGCTTGGGGATAGGGGCCTAGAGGTGGACTTGATCTTAAAGGTCTTTTCCAACTAAAGTGATTCTATGACTAGAAGTTAGCTTAACTTGCTGGAGGAAAAATCATTGTAAGGCAAGATAAGCCATTCTTGTCATTCTCTGCCTAGAGGGCATCTTCTCAGTAAGCCGGCTGGGGTGTTTGGTTTGCTTTTGTTCTGTTGTAATGTTTTGTTTTGGATTTTTTTCCCACCAAGATGAAAGCAACCCAGCAACTGCACTGGTTAATAGTGATATGCATCATAACATTGACTTGCTTTCATGGTGCACTTACTGCAAGGCATAAATGAATTGCAGTATAATAATGCATATAGAAATGCTAAAACCTGTAATACCCATGTTCTCTCCTGGCTATCAGTGCATATATTATCACAGTTAATAGTCCTGAATATAGTTGATTCATTTTAACAAAAGATTGTGTTTTATTGATCACCAAAAAATACAACATACTCCTTTTCATATTAGATACTCACTAAATCTTTTATTTTTTCAGCATTGAGGTGGAATCTTGTTTCCAAAGCTGTTGGCTTTGGATGATTCACCTATTCTATTGATAAAACAGTTACTTTGCTCAGATTTCCAGTGTACCACTGACTGATAGGTGAAACTAAATTAACATGGTTTTCTAGGGTGTATCAAGAAGCAAGGGGATGGACACATGACTGTACTGTGCCTCACAGTGGGCTGAGATTCCCTGTTTGGTCATTCCAGGTGGATTTCCTGGCAGCTTCCAAGATACGGTAATTGATATTCAACAAGATTCTTCAGACCTAGCCCTCACTGAATATTTATAATTGGTGTTTTTATAGACTAGTATAAGTGGGTTCTGTAAGATCTTTAGAAACACGTGTTTATTTAAGAAGGCAAAACTGAAGAGATTGAGGGTTTTGGGGTAGCAGGGATGATTTCCATACAATTAAAATTTTACCTAATATGCCTTGTCTACAGGGTATGTCCTAACTGTGAGGGAAGAGTTTCCCTTGCTGGCTTTTCTAGAGAACCAATTTTTAATGTATTTTTGAACTCATTTGCACTAAAATGAATTATTACTAATGAATTATTTTAGTTGATGACGTTAAGGTACCTGAATGAATTATTACCAGGAGGAAAGCGAGATGCGCACAAAAACAAGGAAAAGAACAGATTAACAAGTATTAACAGATTAAGAAGTAAGTCGCAGACAAAACACCTGAAAAGGTATTTGTAAGCGCTGCTGGCCCTGTCAGTAAGGTGGCAGACACGGCTTTTCCGGGCAGGTTTTCAGCTCTGAATACAGCTGCCTTGTGCGCCCTGTCTCCTGGCCGTGCCGCGGGGAGAAGCCCCTGGCCGGCATCTTTCCGCTTGGCAGAGGCTCCTCTGAGGCCAGTCCCGCACCGCCGCCGTGCTTCACCTCCGCTTGCAGTACTGAGAGCTGGCTTTGGAGATAACGGCTCTCGGTAGTGGTTCTGTTTATAATACAAAAACGTATTTTTCCCAGTTTGACGAAATGGGGAGACCACAGCGCTGACAACTGCAGCTCCTCGAAGCTCAGCCCCCTCAGCTGCCCGCCCTTGGCACCGCCCGCCCCG